GCGAAAATTTAAATATCTCACATTCCTAGTGTGTGCGTTGCCGATAAAGCGCTGAGGTCGGCGTTCTTTAAGTTGACTTGTGCCTAGGTTGGTGCTCTTTAATGAACCTCGTGTGTTCAGAGGCCTGAAGGTGATCGTACAGTACACTACTATGTAATAGCATGGGATGGCTCATTATAGCAAGGCATAACAATTCACACATTAATTTTCCAGCATCCAGTTTTTAATTAATCCAGTAGGCAGTCTTAAACACAGGGTACACAAATTGCCTTCGGCCTCATAATTAATTCTAATGGAAGAAATTAAAAATTGGTGGGGTGTGTTTGGATTGTTCGACTGTGTTACTGTGGTTTTGAGCTCGCTGGAGCGACGCTGTCACCGACAAGGATCTCTCGCTGCCCTGACCAATCCAGCAGTCTCCTTCCCTTTCCGTGTGAGCGGGAAGCGTTGCTCAGTCGCCCACACGGATTCTGCGAGAATAAAAATGCTTTGCATGTCTCCGTCTCCTAAAACATATGCTTTCTCACTGGACCTTTTTAATAATGCCGGCTCCTTTTTTATTCCATGAGTTAGCGCGTGCTTTTTCTTTGATCTGTTTTCTTCTGCTTGGCCTTTCTGAGTCGATGTGTTGGTAGGTTTGGTTACTCAAAGTGCTTCCACAGAGCCAGTATCAACATCCATTACTTTCACCACCCCTGTGTGTTGAAACTGTTTGAGATTGCTTTTCATTGTGGTGTTGCTCTTGGATCCCAGCCAGCTGTATTCGGTATCTACAGTAGCTGTGTAGCCATAGGGAGTTGCACTGGAAACCTCTGTATCATATCAGCATTACTGATGCTCTGTCTCTGGAGACCTCTAAAGTCTACCGCACTCTGGAATAAGAAACCCCGTTTCCTCTCTCTGCTTTCATTTTTCTCTAATTCTCCTCTTTAAAAAAAAAAATCCTCCCTCTGTCTCTCATTACATCTTCTTCATCCTGATATGGTAGGAAATCTTTTTCTTTGGCCGTTTGTTTTCACTTCACAATCAGTCAAACATGTTGTGTTTTTCTGTTTTCTCCCTCCCATAGGCCGCTGCACATTCTGGTGTGTAACGCAGCAGTGTGCACTCAGCCCTATATGCTGACTGAAGACAACCTGGAGTCCACCTTCCAGATCTGCCATCTGGGTCACTTCCTGCTAGTGCAATGTCTACAAGACGTGCTGCGTCGTTCAGCCCCAGCACGTGTCGTGGTGGTTTCCTCTGAGTCACATAGGTAAAGAAAAGGAAGATAGTTTTGTGTTAGTGAGTATAAATATGTTTGATTGTTTGTGGAGAGGTTGCTGCCTGTATCAGTGAGGTCTTTCCATATTAAAGTCACGCTGATAATTGCCCAGAACTAGCCTGTCTAGTCTTCAGGAGTTCATCGCCGGTCGTGCACTTAAAGCCGCTGCACTGGCTAGTTTTCTCGACGAGTTGACAGATAAGACTTTATGCGTATTGTCAAACATGACAGCCTCACTCACTCAAACTCATTCCTTTCCGCATGCTGTCACTGTGAATTAAACGTATCATCAGCATGATGGATGGCCTTATCAGCTAAAATTTACTTTGATCAAGTATCTGCTCTTTTATGTCTGACCCCCCTGACTCAGCCCTTTCCTCCATTTTTTTTTTTCGCAAGGAACTCCAAAGGCTCAAGTTTTTCTGTTATGCAGCAGACAAGCGCAGAGTCTTGCTGTAATCTGTAAGCCCAGACCCCGAGCCATGTATTTTAGAGCCAGTCCCTGTCTGTGTGCAGCATTGATCGTGGCTTCAGTCAGTCAGACGGCCAAGCAGTGATTGATTGGAGCTCGGCAGAGTGACCTGAGACAACGCGAACATACGCAGAGTTATTCTAGCAGATCAAACAGCAGCACTATTACAGGGGCCCTCCTATGAGTTATGTTATACAGGCTGCCATGCATGATTGGGCAGGAGCAGCAGAGGGGATGGTTTGACACTCAGATTCACTTGGGGTCACTTTGCTATTACAAGCTGTAGGAAAAGTCGGTGGAAGACGGAGTAGGAAAAGCTCATGGAAGGAAAGGTTGCCGTGAAGGGAATATTGACATGTGATTGACGCAAAACTTGCTAAAGCAGTAAGAAAAGTGGGTACAGGCAAGTTTTGATTGTGTAAAAACTGTCAGGTTAGAATAAGGAAGATGTGTACTATTTTGATGTATTTGCAGTGGTAAGAATGCACAGGTATTCTCCTTACCTTTCACCCTACAGTTTGCTCTCCTTTCCTGCCTCCCAAACACTGCCTCTCTCCTTCTGTCCTCAACAATCAGCAGTGGCTTTAACCCCTTCAAAGCAGGCTAAAGCAGAACCAGAGAGAGTCAGTTACACACTAACACAGACTAGAGAGAAGGAATAAAGGAGCAAAAGTAGACAATATCTCATATTGCATCTTCCATTCTGTCCACCTCATTCCAGACCTATATTACATCCACTGAAGTCCCTCCCTTTTTTGCTTGTGTTATTTTCACTTTCCGCTGATTTCATGTTTACTTACTTAGCCTCCCCTCACAGGCAGTGGGTGACCCATGACCTGGCAGTATATTGTATTCCCTAAGCCCCTTGTCCGCTTGGTAAAGCAGTGACCTGTAAGGGACAGGAATGGAAAAGATGGACGGAGGAGTAATGGCTGGACACTTTATCAGTTTCCACCACAGGGGCTTACTGTGGAATTGACCCAATACAGGTTTACTTTACTCTAGTACTGCATCAGATCTGGTCAAACGAGAGATCATATCCTTAATGAAATTACCTCTGAAATATCTAAGCTGCAGCTCAGAGACAGTAAACGACATGTTTGAAAACCAAAATCTCGACATTAATATCGCCGCGAGACCTCGTTCAATTGTAACGAGGCACAGCTTCGGCTTGTCGTGCAAACAAGTTTTGATTTACAAAAAAAAAAGCTTTAGCGTCGAGGCAATTGATTTATTAACCTCTACTTGCTGAAGTAGTTACGAAGTTGCAGCACATGAAATGAAAAGCCTGCAGATGTTGTAATTTAGCCAAGCAAGGATGTTGCGGAAGGCGACAGTAAACAAGAGGCAGCGAGCTTGTAAAATCACAACAAGGAAACCAGGTGACATTTTGATTGGTTGTTTTCTAATGACTGGATTAATATGTAGGATGTGTTCCGCTGGTTTGGAGCCTCATCCCGCGCCTCTCACACATACGTACACACACAGACGCAATAAATACACAGTGTAGTTTTCGTGTATTGAGATTTTTGCGCGAGCGTGTAATAACACAACGAGTAGTGTAATGTTTAAGGGGCCTTGTCAAACATCTGGATTTTAACAGCTCTGTCGCAGGCAATTAAAGAACATCATGTCACGTCTTTGATTTGTATGCAGAAAGCGCCACACATCTGCCGGCGGAAAGCCTACGCGCAGGCCGAGGCAGACTCACACTGACTACTCTTAATGCAAACTATCTTTTCAGGTTCACAGACCTCCTAGACTCATGTGGCAAAGTGGACCTGGAGCTGCTGTCCCCTTCAAAGAAGGACTATTGGTCCATGCTGGCTTACAACCGCGCCAAACTCTGCAACATCCTCTTCAGCAACGAGCTCCACCGGCGGCTTTCGCCTTACGGCGTCACCTCCAACGCATTGCATCCTGGGAACATGATGTACACCTCCATACACCGGAGCTGGTGGCTGATGACCTTTCTCTTCACGTTGGTCAGACCTTTCACAAAGTCTATGGTAAGCGAGAGAAGAAGCTCGGAGAAAGTGTTATATCACCTCATGAGTGCGCAGGCCGTAGCTCAGCCTGCCCGAAGGCTCGCTGAAACGCTCGGCTGGTTAACATTTGACATTGCTTTTCATTGCGCCGGAGTAATTCTGCAGCTAGTTATATTTTTCTAAATGCAAAGCCAGTCTGTGAATTTGTGACTCTCATATAGCGCTTACAGAGCCGGCGTATTTGTCTTGGCACATTTCTGGGAGAGAGGACAGGAACAGGATGGAGAGGGGTAGATCTGCTGAAGGCTCAGGGAAAGAGTCTGGGTTTAATAGATAGAGAGATATTTGTGGTTTGTTTTCCTCTTCTGCATGGCACTGTTTGTTTAACCCTGAAAGACAGTTTTCTATCCTCTCAGTACTCTATGCCAGAGAACCGCGACTATTATAGGCTGCTGTTAATGCCTAATCCCAGCCCTAGCTCCTATGCAGTTAAGTACTAAAATAAAAAAAGTTCTGTGCCTAATACATTTTTACTGAATGTGGCAGCTCTTTGTTGTCGCAGTGATTTAAGTTTCCCCGACCAATCAGTATATTTTGGATGGGTATAGTTTTGTGCGGGGTGCCATTGCAAGGCCACTGCTGTTTTACAGACACAAGCGCACAGTATAGGAGAACCTCTAGCATCTGTACCTGAGTTGTGGCTGATCTGAGAACTCCTACCCAGTTTTGGAAGGATGGCATTAAGGAAGGATTTTGAGTTTGGCTCAGCACTTTTGTGATACAGTGTCTTTTTGGGGGATTACAGTAATGAAGCTGCCCAGCACTACTTCAGCTATACACACATGCATACAGCATCCGCTGTGGCATCTGGTTGGATCATAAGATATCGGACAACTTACAGCTAAACTCCCGTGAAGGGTTTAACCTTTCCAGTGTGGCTCAGACGCCAACTGTTGTGAATGTGTAAGCATCTGCATGATTTGTATGTGTGGGAACGTTTTAATAGCACGTGTGTGTGTGTGCGCACGAGATGATATAAGGTGCCTGAGGTTAACGTCCTCACACGCTTTAGATATGAACGATAAAATCCAGCACCGTGATTTATTTCAGTCCATATTGTGTCCTGTGCTCTCTAAGACTTTTCAATGGATAGCAGCACTCTACCCTTTAGGCTCCATAGCCTCCTAATATATGCTTTAGTTTGACTATTACATCTTTCCATTAGCTGTTCTTCATACTTTATCAATTTAGTGTTTGCACTGAAGTGAAAATGTGATGTTGAAAGGCAGCGTGGTGGAGTTTTAGTGAAGCGTTGTTCTGATCCATCATGTTTGACAGACGCAAGGCCTCGGGCCGTCATTTGTCTCTCCGCCATTTGACATAGGATGAGAGATGAGAGGAACGGCTCCTCAGCACCTTTTTGCAAAATGCCAGGCTGAGTATTTCCTCAGTTTGACTTTTTCTGTCACGAAGCACTCTTTTGCGTCCCGTCTCTTTATTTTAGAATTAATTTTTTAATCACTTCGTCCCGTGTTTCATTCTTAAAAGCCAAAGTTTGTCCAGCATTCCTTTTAATCCCATTATTTGGAATGCTACCCCAGTCTGGATGATACTTCTGTGTATGTTTTCATGTATCTTAAGGAATGGGTGCCTAACATTTTAGGAGCAAGCACACACAACCAATTAGCAGAGGGTTTTCTTTTTCTTTTTTTCTTTTATATGTCATTAATTTAATGAAGTGTAGATGTTAGTAAATATTAAAGGACAAAGGTAAAGCTAGTAATTAAATTCTGGTGTGCTGACACAGCGATTAGCTAAAACCCATGTCTGATAAAGGCCACACGCAGACACACAGCCTTACGCACAGACTCGCACAGATACACAGACGCACCCCTAAGCTGAGCATTTGCTCTTATTTAAATCTGGGCTTGATAAGGCCCCTGAAAGTGTATCCTCTTTAAAATCCCACTCCTCACTCCTTCTGCCCCCACATTAAGGGCTTAATAAAACAGTGATATTATTTCAGTTATTGGTTGCGGGGATATGAAGATGCTATCGCTTTAATTGCTTGCGTACGCTTGCGGGATCCATGGAGATTGTTCTGGGATGCAAACATAAGCAGAATGTTGACTCCAAAAAACAATCACAAAGCCCCCATGTGTGTTCTTGCGCAAATAACCAGCCCCTCATTTAAAGCACAGGTTTGATTTATATGAGCACAGGTGGGGTAAAATAGAGCTTTTCAACACGAACAGACACACACGGACAAGCACACGCATGAATTCGCTACACAGAGACGGCTGGAACACCTGGAGCTACGTGTGATCCCAAGTCATTAATCGACCGCTATTGTAAAGGTGATCAAATGTCATGTAGGGCTATATGTGCCGTGGTCGGTCATTTAATCACACCCATGTTTTCGCCCCTTATTAATTGTTTCCTGCTCTTTTATGTTATCTTTGAACTTGCACGCTTTTTTTGTGTGTCTTTTCTCGTTGCCGTACTTTGGTCACGTCTAATCAAAACATGCGCGACTTCCTCGCTTTTGCATTCCTTGTGTTGTGGTTTGAACTTAAGAGAAAGAAACTTCTCTATTAGCAGGGAGCCCCAGCCCACTCTGCTATTGATGCACAGAGCTGATTCAATTTTGCTGAGTTGAGAAAGACATCTATAAAGAGCCATGACATTTTAATCAGCCGAACTATCTCTCACTAACATCATGTTCCCCTCCCTGTGCCTTGATCTACTTATCAGAGATTGTGCAACCAGGCCTGTAACTCCTGTTTCTTTAATTCAGCGTGTTTAGTGTGGGAGTTTTGCCTGTGTCCTTTGGTGTGATTATCAGCACCAAATGATCTGGCCTGAAGTTGTGTGTGTGTGTGTGTGTGTGTGTGTATGTGTGTGTGACAGAGAGAGAGACCTAAGAGAGAGCGAGAGAGGCAAAAAAATCTGCTATCAAGTGATGTAGTTAGAGCAATTTAATGCAGAAAAGTTTGATTGATGCAGATCTTGGTCGATTTATTTGATCAAACATTGTAGGATTTGTGGGTCTTTCTAGATTGTAGATGGTTTCCTTTGAATCTGAACTCTGGGCACACTTTTAAACAGCGCATAATGAATTTCAGTGACTGTTGCAGTTATTAATTTGGCTGTAACCTTTGTGAAGTTGTCACCGTCCTGTCATGCTGGATCGCTGACCCTGTGACATTTTGTTGACTGACTGATTGCTCCCTCAAGATCGGTATACCCTCAGGCTCTGAGCAGCTGGGCTCAGCCTATACCCATCAAATATATACCTTAACTATAGGCAGAGACAGTGCTGAGCTGAATGGAGACCAGTGTGTGGGCAGTGGCTCCAGTACATCATCCACTGTAATGGGTAAAGAGAGGGGAGGGGTGCTGTGGGCACAGGCCTAAGAGGCTCTACTGGTCCAATCAGACGCCTCGATTCTCCCAGAGGCCGGTTTCATCAGCGCTCACGCCTAGTCCCATGCTTCTTAGCGTTTTTGCATGATTATTTTACCCAAGATCCTGCCTCGGGCACCCAGCCACCTTTTTACATATGCACAAGCTGAACTTTTGACCAGGCACCAGCAGTCAGTGGTTCAGGCACGAGATGTGGGACTGGCGTTGCCTCCTTCTCAGCTGAGCCTTGCCTAATGTGACCAGGAGCTTCAATCCTGCAGCTTGGGGGTTAACCCAAGAGACAAATCCTGCAAGAGAGACATCAGCATTACCATTTAGCAGACACACCGTAGAATGGCTGGTTGGTGCTATGTGTGAGTACAGCAGGCACTGTTACTTCGGTATCAGTTTCTCTCCTGCAGCCAGACATAAGGTCAGATGCTCCATCTCCTATCTGGTGTAGCCCAAAGAGGCGGGCAGCTTTGCTGTACACCTAGGAAGCCTGTGTGTATGTGTGTGTGCTGCTCAACCATGTGGAAAGAAAGAGGAGCAGAGGTCCCAATCTCCTCGCCCGCCCCCCCACCACCCTTCTTCACTGTGAGGTTAGATGAGCTGCCAGGCCGTTGTAATAGAGTCCTCTTGGATGATTAGGGGCTACACAGGAGGGGGTCAGCTCCAGCCTGACTGGAAACACTGTGTAGGTTTCTCTTTAGTGGGGTAGAGAGAATATTACATATTATGCCAACTGGCATGAGGTTCACACGCTCTGTCATGAGTCAGATTTCCTTTAGAGGCCATGTTTTAGACCATTTTTGAAGAACTTGATATAATCAATGTGATATTCCTGCGAGACGTATCCTGCCGTGCTGCTGCACTACGTAGAGAGAGACATCAGCAGGCAGTGAGAAACAAGATGTGTTGGTGTGGCATGATAAAAGCATACAATCCTATTTGCCTGTATTGACATGTGTGTTCTGCCCAATCCTGTTACTGGGATTATTGGCCATGGAGATACCATTTCATTAAAGAAAACACACAAATGCTCAGGCACACACACACACACACACACGCACACACAGTGGGTGCACAGAGATGGCCTGAGGCCTGGTTATGTGCTCCATTGCACAGGGAAACTGTGTAAATGGTTTATTGTGGATGAGTTGATGTGATGGAAAGCGTGTCTGGATCAATAAAGAACCAATCAAATGCTGACAGTCTGCTGCTGTATGCAGTCAGTCATTCACCCCTCATGCCTGCGTACAGTTATACAACATGAGTGTGAAGGAAGGATGAACAATATCCCTGTTGAAAACAGAAGAAGTTTAAGAAGAAAAGAAGTAATTTTTTCAACAATGAAACAAACAAAAAAAAGCTTAAGTCTGCAAAAGATTGTCACTTTTTTTTTTTGCGTGCATGAGTTCTGCATGTACCTCTTTCTAAGACGTGTTTCTGTGACTGGCTAAGATTTGTTTGTGAAGAAACATCATTTAAAGAATCAACCACATCCTCTGCTCCTCCAGCTCCAGACACCTCAGGGAGACCATTAGGACGGCTCCCCAGCTGGGGTTGTCTGAGTCGGGGCTGAGTCTGAGTTGGGGCTGGGCTAAATTACCCCA